TAATCCAGACATGGCATTTACAAGGTATCTGTAAGCTTGTAGAACCACTCTACAACCAACCACAAGCATTCAGTCCAAAGTATTTATAAACCTAACAGTTGCAAATGTTATGAATCATAGTTTGATTCTGAGATACCACCAGCTTTGAATAAGTATATTATCACAGGCATTTGGAGAGGATCTGGAGAAAAATGAAGTTTAAAGTTCAGGTCGGGGGTGTTCTGGTTGCTACAAGGTTAAACATGTTTCGGAAGAAATATGTCTCAGATTAATGACACTTTAAAACTTAAATGAAACAAAAACATTCAAAGAAAAATTATAAATTGCAAAGAGGATGAATATAATATTGGAAAAAAGTAAGAGTCAAAAACAAATGGAAAAAAAATCAAAGAACATTCACAAGAATTCAAATGTTAGGTTAGTCACCAGATAACAAAAAGTAAAAGTTCTGTTTTTATTAGAGGATTTGAAATGATGTCCTCACAAAGTTCATTCCTGCCTTGTGTCCCCTGGAGACAGATAAACAAGAATAAACTCACACACTCACTCACAGGGGTCAGGTTAAAAATAATCGATATGGAAAGAATAAATCTGTCGAGCTGTACATCTGCAGGAGTTAAGCTGAGCTGCTGTAGGTGGACCAGCCTCCTCTGTTGTGGGAGATTTATTTTCTGCTCTGCTGTTTTAAACTCCCACTGAGGCTCTTCAAGAAACTTCTGTTTGTATCAGTTCAGACCAGGTTCTCTGAAAAACTGCTGAAAAGTGTCTGTTCTAAAGGTGATTGTATCAGTTAAAGTTAAATGAGCATGATGCACTTCCTGTTTACCAACTTGACTTTTATCATCAAAGAAACGGGAAGGAAAGAGTCAGAATCCGTGATGGACGACAACATTGAGGCTTTAATATATTCTTATTCATCAGTAAAATCTTGATTGATTGATTAGATCGCTACAAGAAAGTTGAGTTTTGCATAAGTACAAATGTTGGAACTTTGAATTATTTTAGTAATCAATTACTCTGTCAAATATTCTGTAAATTATCTTAATCGGATAAAAAATTTGAAAATTCTGCAGATTTTCATCTGACTACCGAAGCCTTTTTATACTTCTGTTTGCTTCAGTTCCTGCATATTTACACTGTCATGAATTGTGCTAGTGTTGATTAATGTGCACTGTCCTAATAAGATTAATCTAAAACAACATATGCAAATATTTGATCTGCAACTAATAGGGGAAACAGAAAGTGAAGGGAAATCGGATATTATGTGTTATTTGCATAAATCAACCTTCAAGAACATCTCAATATATTTCTGAATAATCTAATTGCTGCATTTTAAAATTAGCAGAAAAATATTTAAATTGTGGAGATCTGAAAGTTAATGTGTTACATTTGATCTTAGAAACATAACAGATTTTATTACCTCAGATTATGACATTAACATAAAATCTGAGCATAAATGACAGTGAAGTTGAAATGTTTTGTTTGATATAACTGATCTTCTGTCTCCATGTAGCTTTTCAATCTCTTTTTAAGATAATAAATTGAATCAAGTCAAACATATTCTGATTTAATTAAAATATAGCTTAGGCTCATGAAGTTAAAAGGCTGTTTTAATGCCGGACATAAAAATCCCTTCACATATGTAAATACATAAACTAGCACAAACATGTGGAGAATCCCACGATTATTAAGGGAATTATTAATGCACTCTAGAAGAAAGTTAATTTATATAATAAATCTCCAAAAGTGAGAACAAATATGCAGAAATTGGATTTAAAGTATACACAATTAAACTCATGTTATTAGTTTTCATTAATATATATGTTTAAGTTCTCACAACATAATGTAGCTGTAGAAAAGTTTTTAAAGAAATGTTGAAAATGATTTATAACATGAGAAAAATTCATATGTGAAAAATATTTATATCAATGAAAACCAAAAGATCAGAAATGAAATCAGGAACATTATTAGATGTAGCCCCTCATGTTTCTCTCCATCCATCCATTTTCTAACAATCTTGTCCCTTGTGGGTTCGGGTCTCTCCAGCTAACGTTCCAGGTAAATATACATTTATAGCAACTTTTAGGTTTCCTCTGAACACGTTTTAAAATGGTAGAAATAAACAGCTTAAAGCAATGGACTTCAGCAAGCTAAAATAAAAGTTACATTAATAATTAGTAACTGTAAAATCAATAAGCAACTAAATATTATACTCACAATGAAATCACATCTACAATGTTAAAAAAAGAACAATTAAAATCATTAGTCACCCAATAATCCACTCTACAGACTCTTACATATTTGGAAATGTGTCAGATTTCAGAAGCACCAACAGTTGTACTTGGAGCATAAAAGCTGCTCTTGGCAGTTTTCCACTGTGAAAGCTAAAAGCCTGCTGCCGCGTCTCCCAGGGAGTTTCACACAACGAGGAAGTCGGTTTAATGTTTGGTTATATTTTCATCTAGTTGAATATGGACTGCAGCAAAACATTTTGAAAACTGATATTTAGTTTTAAGATGGGCGGATTAAATGTACTGAGTCTGAATCTAAATCAATATTTGTGTTCAAACTAACAAGAAAAAAGCAATGTCACATAAATATAATACAACAGTTTTACTGTAACTGTTTGTTTTCACAAAGAAAATCATAAAATTAAACAGAACCTGAAATATTACAAAAGCTTTTCATCAATCAAATTGTGTTTGAGTTCAAATTCCTCATAATGTTTTTTTCATCTTGTTGCTTTTATTTTCAGTTTTTCAAGACAGAAACATGAAGCACAACACACTACAAAACAAAGTTTATTTTTCTGATTTATTCAGGAAAGCCTCAGGCTGTAGACAAACTATGGATGCAACATGAATTGGAATAATTTTTCCACTTTTTCTCCAGAATAGAAATTATTTTTTTTTAAACCTAATCCATCAAATGTATTTATTTATTTCAGACAATCAAAAGTAAAAATATTTTAAAATGTATTTTATTATCAAGCCAACTGACATGCAACTTTACACAATTTGTCTGAGAAGGAACAAATTCCTCTCATAATTTTTTAAAAAGGAGCTGTAGATTACACAGAGTACAATGCAATAGTGTGAAAGTTTTTACACCCATAAAAGCACAGATAAATATTTCAGATCAAACCAATGTTATTATATCAGATAAAGAGGACTTGAGAAGATATAAACAGGAGATTTCTTATTTATTTTATTTATTTACTTGTTTTTATTAAAGGTAAAAAAAAATACCTTGATCATTTTCCATGTTCATTGGAAAATGGTAATGAACCCCTATAATTTTATTATTTTAATCTGCCCAAATGGAACTAAATACACAATAATTACCTTTAATCCAAAACCATTCAAATGAAATTGGCAAAGTGAATAAAAGTGATCTGGAATAAAAACGATCTGGAGAGAGCCAGCAGGAGCTTTGAGTGCTCTAACATGTTCCCCAGATAGAAATAGAGTAAATAGATGCTGCGATAAAGTCCTCAAATGCTTCAGGAAGGATAGAAATAATCCTCAAGGCTGAAAGCCACATGTGAGTGTACGTGTCTGTGTGAGCACATGCATGTTCAGGTAGGACACGTGTGTGTATGAGAGTGTGTGTGCTTGTTTTTATTGCCTATTTAGGACTTTTTCTGACGTCCATTGGTTTTATGGGGCCCACATTCGATTCTTCAGCAGGAGATTCACATTTCTAGGATTAAAGATGTTTTATGTATAATGTTAATTTTTCCTTTTCTGTTTTAATATTACCTCATCTAAAACTTACCTGGAGTGTTGGTTTGATTCTCGTGGTTATGTTTTAGAAATCCTTTAATCTCCTTGGCAGCTATTCTGGTGCCTAAACACTTGCTCTCACAAAGCTCTGCCCCCAAATCCCCAAGCAAAGCAGCTCCTTCAGACTAGCGACAGCAGCAATTAGCAAATGCCTGGTGGAGCTGCACATGTGCTGAGCTCCAGAATGGTTGAAAACAACATCATGGAGGAGTTTTGTTGAGATGGGCTCCTGAAGACAGACTTTCACAAAGACCAGAAGGTTCTTAAAGAGACGGAGAGCCAATTTCAAGGAGTTAAATTACAAAATCTAATTTTTTTAAGTCATGTTTGACATATGTAGCATTGTCACTACACTTTGTGCAATGACACTATGTGTCACTTCAGGCACATAGAGTAAATTACACTATGTGCCTGGAAAAATCATACTACCACCTTAAGGTTTAATCCACATTACCACAATTCATGGCACTGTAAATGTATCGGAGTTGGCACAAAAGCTAAATTTCATCCTTTGTCTTAAGGCAAGTAATCAGAAAAATCAAAACAACCTCACTATACAATTCGCAGGACAAAACCCAGTGCTTATATTCTAATAAAGTTTTTAAAAAATTACTTAAAATACAACATTTACACATGAAGTAACTAACCAACAGACGGACAACATATAAAATCAGCTGTAAGATGTAGATGTTACAAATGAGTAGATAACTGGTTTGCTGGAGTTGCTTTTTAAAAAATTGTGTAGCTTTCATTGTCTTTGTTGAGATTGTGACAAACCAGCACAAAATATTACATAACAGTGACTTGGAAGGAAAATAATTCTCGGTTTCAGGAGGTTTTACAATAGCAATCTGAAAGCTGTTGATAAAGCTGAACATGTATGCAGCCAGACTTTAAATAATATTCTTCCTCTCTATTTCAATGGTCTGTTATAAAATATTGGACATGTTTTAAGGCAGAAACTGAGCTGAAGGATTCAGATAGATGGTTTTAAACTCCAGAGCAGCCATCTCCCCCCCCTCCTTCTCCACCTGCTGCTGAACCTCACCATCCTCATCTTCATCACTAAATCTGCTGCTCTGAATCATCCAGTTACGCAACACCTCAATCTGCTCCACCAGCAGAGGGAAAACTCTCTTCTTCTGCTCATCCTGAGGCCCCAGCTCCCTTCAGCAGGAAGAACCTCCAGGTATCAGGTTAAGGTCTGGATCTGACCTGAATTCAGTTGTCATGACATCAATCCTGCAGCTGAGCAGCATGGCGTCCTCCTCCATCCATCATGGTGAAACTCCCACCAGCTGCTGGACGCCGCCGGTCCAGCCGGAGCGGAGGAGGACAATCAACTAAAACTTCTCCCAAACTCTGAAGTCCTTCATTTTCCTGTTTAGAATCATGCGGAGCTGGTCCATCAGCACCAGGGTCAGAACAACGCAGAGCGTGACGCCTCTTGTTTCCAAGCTGTCACACGCCTGAGCGGCTGGCGCTGAAAGCTGCAATCCCAGGAATGTGGAGCTGAAATTTAAAGGGGCGTGCTGCTGTTTTTAGACCGGAGAGGAATAATTCAGGGTCAGAGAGCTGCAGGCCGCTCTCAGCACTGGCGTCCCGATGAACAGATCAATCCCAACAAAGAACCACTGCTGGAGACCAGATCCAGAATTATAATTTTTAGCTGAAATCCAACTTTTTTACCTCCATGGTTCTACTAATTAAACCCAACCACAACCTTCTATGTGATCCTCAAAACGGCACGCATGCGCAGAAAAAGAAATTTAGATGACACCCAGCAGTGCTCTGTTTACAGCAGTAATAATGACCGCCGCTGTTTATGGATGGGCTTTAAATAGAAAGTATTATGTAAAATTAACTTTTTTAGCTTTGGATCATGTTATAATGTTTTCCCTCATCAAAAACAAACCTGGAGAGTTGCTTTGATTCAGTCATGTTTGAGATTGCAGCATTCTCCATTCCACCCACTGAGCTGCAAAACAGCAATTTATACCGACTGAAAGAAATATAGTTACTTGATTATGTTATAACAAGACTCTGAACTGAACACACAGCACTGACGCTCTAAAAGGTTCTTCAGAACTGACAGAATAGTCACCAGATCCAAACAAGTTCAAATTTAATAGTGCAGAACTTTTCAGCAACAAGGCTGTACAAAATGCTTTCCATCATAAAAACATCACAGTCACTAATAAACAAGCAATAAACATTGCATTTTATTAAATGTCATCATCAAAATTATTAAGCAAATATTCATAGAATATATTGATGAATCAAAAGCAGCTCTAAATTACCTTCAGTTTTAGGGCTTTTAGTCTAGATTTGAGGAGATTCAGTGTTTTGGCTGTTCTGCAGTTTTCTGGAAGTTTCTGACTTTTTCTGCTACAGAATTATGACACATTCTGACATCAATGACGTAAAAGTCACTTGGATGAGACCTTTTAACGTCTGTCAAATGTTGATGCCTAATGAACAGTGATGGTTTGGATCTGCAGTGTGTATTTCTACGCCTGATGAGAAGTAACATCCTAGAGTTAAAACTTTCTTTGTTTATCGGCAGGAAACTCGACTAGATTGCATCAGGAGCGCAGCAGCATTTTCAATTTATATTTGAAGAAGCTCGCTGAGATGAAGCCAGATGGCTGGAGTTTAGACATGGATAGTTTTATCAGACAGGTCAATAGTTTTGAATAGAACCGGATCAGAATGAGTTGTTTGGAGTGTCATCTCTTGCTTTAAAAAGGCTAATGCGACAGAAAGTCACGCTTTGTCAGTGCTAACTTCACCAGCACTGAAGGGTGTGGGAATCTGACATCCTGTGTGTTGACAGTCTGCTACTTGATGAGTCCTCTCATCGTTTTCTGACTGAACTTTCTCAGCTGACATGTTCCTTTCTTCTTTCTGCTTCCCAGAGCGTCTGAAGTTCATCTCTCATTTCCTGCTGGAGGAAAACAAACCAATCTGTTCTTCATGACAGCACTGATGGTTGCAGACTTCGCCTTTTTGTTGACGAATGGATCAATAACCCCTACAGGACAAACACCATGTTCTCACACAGTCTCTGAAAAAAGAAAGTACACCATGCTGCAACGCTTAGTCTTAAAATGAACAAAATCCAACTGCAGTCATTATTTAATCTGCATTAGTCAAACTCCAGTCCGTCTACCTAAAGTTCAGTCTGGTTTGTTTGGTGTGACCTCTGGTCCTCCAAACCTCGCTCTGGGTTCGTTTGAAGTGAACTCTGGTTCGGTTTGTGTGCATATGTGAACGCCAAGCAGACCGGAGAAAGCAGGAAGTGGACGACAGCACAGGGCATTCTGGGAAAATAAAATCGAAGCTAGCGTGCTAGCCTAGCGCTAACTGTAGAAATGGCTCGTGATTTTTAGCCAAAGACTAAAGAGAAATCCTCCAACTGCTAAAATCTGACGCCTCCACTGTAGTTTCCAAAATGGTGAAGAAGGAAGTTGCTCTCAGTGCCTTCAGAGGTTTTTGTGTCATTTCCTTCAGTGGTTCTTGGTGCAGCGCCCCCACAGGCCAGGAGGGGAGCGGGTTACTCAAAGGGTTTGAGCAACCTCTTCATCTGAATCAAATCCTTTTGAGAACATTAGCCAAGTACATTATGTAAGTTCAAGTGCAGATCAGCAGCACCAGTTCAGAACAGTTCTAATGAGCAACTGAAGTACTGTTTGTTTTACAGAACAGTCTCTCACGCTTCAGTAAAGACATGCTGTTTGTATAAAGTGGCATCAAGTGTAATCATAGTGCCTCTGTCAGAGCAGAGAGAAAGAGAACCACAGCAGCTGGAGATGGAACAGATTATGAAGTTTCGGGCCCAATAGAACCGGGTCAAGAGGAAAAACTCCATTAAATCCAGTTTAAACTCATTGTTTAAAATACTAACAGTGTGGAATCTTGAGGAATTTTGTTCTCTTGAGCTTTAAGATAAACTATTTTACAGATTTGGAAAGATTGATATTTTCTATGAAAATAACATGAATGTTTTTTCATATTCAGCTGTTCTGGTGTGATAGAGAAGCAGAAATTCATCCCAGATCCAGCACTTTGAGTCAGCATCACTTCCTGGCCAGCAGCAGGAATAGGAACTGACCGGTAGTTCCTGTGGGACTCTGAGACCCGGATCAGAGCCAAGGCAGGAGAGGGCCACCTTCACAATCCAGCACACACACTCTCACAAGAACACGCACACACACTGAGCAGTGAAACTGTGCTGCAGGGCTCAGTTCAGTTCACTAAGATCAGGATGTACAAACTTCTTGTCACCTGGCCAAAATTGTCCCGCATTTTAATTTTCGGTTTCTTCAAAAACTAAATTTACAAAGTACTATATGATTAATGTAGCGTACCATTAACTCTGCATGGAAGCCATAAAATTAGGACTTTCTCCTGCTAATATTATGACATTGCAGTTTTATACGGCAGGATTTTATTTAAAAGTCAGATTTTTCCAAAGCCTTTTCTTTGAAACTTTAGATGCTAGTTGATGTTGAACCGGCAGGTCCAACTGAACTCTGGGTTCAGACATGAACATAATGAGGGTCAGCAGGGGCCCGGCTACCTCAGGGGCCCTCAAGGGAAACTGAAAACGGCAGTTTTTGTCTTTCCATCTGCGTGAGACGGTTTTTAACACGGCGACCTCGGGGGTCATGGGAAGAAGCCAGTGCTGCTCAGTGCTTAGTCCCCCTAAAACTCTAATAATTGCTTGTATTTGTGTTTTGGATTAAAAGGATAATTGACATGTTTGAGGGCCTGAAAGCAGCGGAGGAGGAGGAGGAGGAGGAGCAGGTCCGTGGGGTAACAGAGTGTTTTTGCTGCTGAGCGCGCCGGCCGCAGCACTAAAGTTTCCCTGCAGTTGAATAATGAGCAGCATCACAACCTTTTAAAAGCACCATGTGCTGACGGAGCGTTGGCTCGTTCTCAGACGAGCCCTGCAGATATTATTGAACTAATCATAGTGCCAAACACACACACACACACACTGCAACATCTCTGGATGATGTGTGTGTTCATCAGAGCTCCTGAGCGCCACCAGCTTCTCCATCCGTCAGCGGCGGTGGAGATAAACAACAACATAAGGCAGTGACATGTCCAGCCGTCAGAAATGTAAAAGATAAACCTGAAAAGATCTGGTTTATTTATGGAGCCTCGTTCCTCACATGCCAAATAAAACAATTTTACAGACCATAGAAAGCTGAGGAAATAAAATAAACAACTGCTTAGTCATGAGGTTTAAAGAAAGAAGCAGTAAAATGAATTTTTACCAAATAAAAAGTGTAAAAAGTGCTAAGCCACTGCAGTACCAATAAAGTTCAGTGTCGAACATTTTCTAGAATATCTGGTGTTTTCATATAATCCTCTTGTTCTGGAAACAGAGTAAAGATGTTTCTGATGACAGAAGCATCAGAGATCAGTACATGGCGGGTACGTCCTCGCTCCAGGAGCCTTTATCTATTTCTAAACTAGCTATTGATCTGATCAATGATGGACTGGTACAAGTGCTGCAAAGGAGAGTACTAACTAGCATTAGCTCTGGATAGGCTAGCGATTAGCATTGAAGAAGCTCACGCTAGCATGGCTAGGCTATTCACCCATGACTTTTTCATTCTTTAAAGGAAACTTTATCCTGAAAAATGATTGCCGTACTGTAAGCATAAAACATTCGATGCATTGACATGTTCTCTTGTCAGTTCACTGTAGCCAACAGGCATAAACATGCTGGATAATGTTGAGATGAAACCGGCTTCTGATTTAGGCTCCTGATGTCTTAATGTGGGCCAGAACTCCATCAGCAGCGTTTCTAAAGTGATATATCAAACCTATTAGGAATATCAAACCAAACCTGTCTGATTGGGTTTGAAGAACAATTAAAAAAACAAAATACTATTTTAATAATAAACCAACTGAACTTAAAAACATTTTCCAGTTTTTTGGGTCCTGTTTCAACAAGAAGCCGTTATTTCTGACAGTATCTGGAACATGACAGTTGGATGATTTGGTTATGGACTTTATGTTTGTTTAAGTTTCAGTCTGAGTCCAGGACTACGCCAAAACCAGACAACCAGTGAATGAACCAACCTACAGACCAATCATCCAACAAAACCAATCATCCCATGAGCCAACCAACAAACCAGGAGACAACTGTTGGTTTGGACTTTGCATGTTTTGTCCCTTGTTTTCAAACACAGTAAATATGTTCGTTCAGTGGCTGAATGTATCAAGTACATATAAATATA